GTGTTGTAATGTGTTTATTGGTTGTTCTGAAAAACTCTGTGGGTGGTACTATGTGTGGAAAACCTGCATAAAAAAGGCCCTTTGGTGCAAAGTAAAGAGATCCTGTTTGACCCTCAATACGTACCCTTGTCTCGTTATAATCACACTGGGGATTGCTATGCTCTGCATACTCCCCTGAGCTTGAATCACTTAGCTCTTTTAAGAGCTTGTACCTGATACGCTTTCCTGGAGGAGAGGTCTTCCCCACACAGTCCTGGATGCTGGAGGTTCATACATGGTGGAAGGAAGAGGTCTTTCCCACACGATCCTGGAGGACAGAAGCTGATCCAGAGTGTAAGAAAGACGGCGAGACTCCAGTCAAGCTACGGCGGTTGCGGAGTCTGCAGTGGTTGTGGTGTCCGGTGCGGTGCTTGTGGTCCTCGGTGCAAGCTAGGAAGCGTCCAAAAACGGAGGGTTCTTGGTCGGAGTATGGGGAGCTCCATTACAGGTAGCCCCTGTTATTTGACAAAGGATGGATACTTTCTCACAAAAGGAGACCGATAGGTGCCCAGTTATTAATAACAATGTGCAACTAGATATGTCCCCACCCACTCAATCACATAACTAGTCACTCACACAATGACGGAAATAGTGACATACTCTGTCATACCTGAAGATGCACTCACAGATACATACAGAGACACACAGTCACACAAACATATACATTTGCACACTCAATGGCACAATGTGCTCACAGGTACAGACTTTCAGAATTACAGATACACAGTCAATCATACAGACACAATACACATGACAACAAATACATGTTGGAAGTAGTGGAATTTAAATTTAGGACAAAATGGGAAGGGAGATTAAAGTTAGCTGCTCCTCATCCTAATATAGCTAATGGGGAAGTAGTGGGGGTTACAAGCTTTAATGGGGGATAGGGGCAGTTAGTGAGGGTTGGGGCAGCAGTGGAAGTTAGGAGCTGTAGTTGGAGTTACGAGCTTTAGGAGGGGGGAAAAGCTATAGTGGAATATCAAGATAGTAGTGGGGAGTAGTGATGTCCCGAACGGTTCGCCACGAACGGTTCGCCACGGACTCATCATTGAGTAAACTTTGACCCTGTACCTCACAGACAGATCCTCCCACCTCCTGGACAGCTCACTAAGAATGCAGCTTCACAATGAATGTAAAATGGATGCTGTCCAGGAGGTGGGAGGGTCTGGGAGGGAGGGTCTGCTGCTGATTGGCTGGAATATGTCTGCTGACTGTGAGGTACAGGGTCAAAGTTTACTCAATGATGAGTCCGCGGAGAACCGTTCGTGGCGAACCGTTCGGCGAACCGTTCAGGACATCACTAGTGGGGAGTTAAGGGCAGTAGTGGGGGTTTGTGTGATAAAAGCTGAAGTGGGGGGTTAGAAGATGTAGTGTGGAGACTAGGGGCTGTATTTGGGTGTAGGGATAGTAGTGGGGGATAGGGACAGTAGTGAGAATTTAGAAGCAGTAGGTGTTAGAAACAGTAATCGGGTTTAAGGGAGTAGGGAAGATTATGAACAGTATTGTGGGGTTTGAGGCAATGAATTTGTAGGGGCAGTATTAGGTGTTTAGAGAGCAGTAGTGAGGATAAGGGTCAGTAATGGGGGTTAGGGTCAATAGTGGGAGGTTAAGGGTGTAAAGGGGGTTGTTGATGTAGTGAAGGTTAGAGGCTGAAGTGGGGGTTTGGAGCTCTAGTGGAGGTTATCGGATATAGTGGTAGGGTTAGGGGCTGAAGTGGGGAGTTAGAAGCTGTAGTGTGTGTTAGTGGATAAAGTGGGGAGCTAGAGGATGTAGTGGGGGTTTAAAGGCTGAAGTGGGGGGTTAGGAGCTGTAGTGTGTGTTAGGGGATAAAGTGGGGAGTTAGGAGATTTTGTGGGGGTTTAAAGGCTGAAGTGGAGGGTTAGAAGCTGTAGTGTGTGTTAGGGGATAAAGTGGGGAGTTAGGAGGTGTAGTGGGCGTTTAGAGGCTGAAGTGTGGAGTTAGGAGCTGTAGCGTGGTAAATAAGGTGATGAAGAGAAAGTTGCAAAAAAATTACATGTTTAATTTAAATTAATTAATTAAATTTAAAAATGAAATACAGTTTCTTGCTCCTTCCCTTATTCTCATTTTAGCCCAGGAAAGGGAAATCCTGATTGTACCCCAGTGGGTGCAGACAGCACTTTCTGCTGGCACCAGTAAATGTAGCAGAGAACTTGGCCTGGAAGTACAGTTCTTCCTCCTCCCCTTCAGCACCAGGGGCATGCAGGGGACATCGCCATGTAACACAGACCTGTTCATCTCCCTGCTGGCTTGTTCAGTAGCCAGCGCTCTGGCTGCATTAGGGTGTGCCTAGACATACCTGGCATACTCTGTGTGCACGCCTATGGTGTCACGATTGCCCAGAATAAGAGTAACTTTTCAATAACGGTCTTGGGTCTTCCAGGTACTCACACTACATAGCTGCTCCTACATAGGAAGCTGAATGTATCCCGTTAGCTAAGCAGGGACATGCTCTTTGGCTTAGAATGCTTTGCTGTCACTTTCAGCCAATGGCAGTGGTCGTGCTTACCTCACTGGAGCTAACTGATACTCCTTGCAGAATAATCCTGAAGCAGGTCTGTCGCTGCAGATATTGAGGGTGAAACCTTCAAACTGTTAAAAGTGAAAGTATGACAAAAACAGGCTGCCAATATGAAAGGGGCCTGGTCTTGCTGTTAAAGGGCCCCAGCACGGCTGTACTGGCGATAGACAGAGCTTATAATAATGATGGGCAGGGAATCAATATGGAGGTGTCTTTAGCACAATAAAAAGTTATGGATTTTTATATTTCATATTAGTTTTTCATACCATACAAATACTTTTTTTTTTTTTTTACTTATAAAGGATAAGTAAACATAACATTAAATCTTGTGAAGTCACAGATCCCAATTACATTTTCACCCTGCAAGGCATTATATTGATGAGCAAAAGTTTACATGATGCACAGACATGAGGATATAGAAAAGACCCCCATATATATATTGGAACACTGTAACAATCAAATGTTAGGAACCTGCACATGTCAGAAAGCAATGACTGAGTTACAGATTGCTATTCTAAAGAAGGTCTGGAAGACCTTCGGAACTCTAATGTGCAGCAGCAGCTGAAGCGAAAAAAAAATATGATCAATAAACAGAATCCTGAACCTAACCCCCAGCAAGCTGGCACTCAGGTCCTATAAAGTTTTAAATTGTTTTTTTTTTTTATATATATATATATATATAAGCCTTTTTTTAAATTTCTACATAAAGAATAAAGTATTCAATTGGAATATGCGGGGTGTGCACTTCATATCTGAGAGTCAAATAGAAGCGTCTAATAGGGTGCTTACAGCGCAGTTGTAAACATTCTAATTGTTTTGCTGCTAATCTGCTAACTAGTACATTTGCGGCCTGCGGTGCACTTCATATCTGAGAGTCAAATAGAAGCATCAAATAGTGTGCTTACAGCGCAGTTGTAAACATTCTAATTGTTTTGCTGCTAATCTGGTAAATAGTACATTTTGGGGAGTGCACCTAATATCTGAGAGTCAAATAGAAGCGTCTAATAGTGTGCTTACAGTGCAGTGGTAAACATTCTAATTGTTTTGCTGCTAATCTGCTGCTTACATTGGAGTTTTAAAAAGTCTTTTTTTTTTTGGTGCTAAATAGTATATTTGGGGCGTGCAATTCATATCTGAGAGTCAAATAGAAGCGTCAAATAGTGTGCTTACTGCGCAGTTGTAAACATTCTAAAGGTTTTGCTGCTAATCTTCTAAATAGTACATTTGCAGCCTGCGGTGCACATCATATCTGAGAGTCAAATAGAAGCGTCAAATAGTGCGCTTACTGCACAGTTGTAAACATTCTAATTGTTTTGCTGCTAATCTGCTAAATAGTACATTTTGGGGCCTGCTCTTCATTTCTGAGAGTCAAATCGAAGCGTAACTTTGATTCAGAATTACTACATCGGTCACTTGTAATATTGTTTCACACCTACAACACTTGTTACACAGAACTAAGTGATAGAAAACAGATTGATATTTTCTACACTAGAAACTACCAGATAACAAGCTGCTATATTTAAACCAGTTATCAATAGCTAGAGGTACTTAAACAATATTGTAATTCTGTGGCAAAACCCTCACAAGTCAAACAAAGAGGTCAGTTTATAGGGAAAACTGTTGCCTGGAGTAAATTCTAAAACAATTTCCATATGTCTTTTGCAGACTTTACATGCTGGAAAAACACAGGTGCCAACTGCTGTGGCTTTCTGCAATGTGCATACCGGCAAGGAGGGCAGGGTTGAGGAGTGGGTGGAAGATGATGTGGAGGAAGATGAGGTCTTAGACCCCACATGGAATCAAGGTCATGTGAGTGACGTGTGCAGTTTGGAGGAAGAGGCGCTGGTTGCACAGAGGCACCAGCACAGCATAAGAGGGAGCAGGGTACAAAAGCGGAGCAGCCGTCCCCTAGCACTCATCGGCATGTATTAGCTCGAGAATTACCAGTTATCCAAATAATACATGTAGCGATCAAAGGATCGCTACACGTATTATTAGATTAGATACCAGATTTAACGATCCATTCGTAGTTTCACAGTCAGGTGGGCAGTCCGGTGACCAGGACCCAGACACAGTCTGGGTGACGGTCAGACGACCGGGACCCAGTATGCCTGATGTTGAAGTTAGGAGTCACAGTGTCGAATGGATTAGCAGGGTCTGATGCAGGGTAACTGGTATTGAGCACCAGCATTTGTGCGGCCACATACCAGGACCCTGATGCATCTTCCGTAAAACGAGTACTGGATACCAGAAGCCATCACCAGACTGATCCGCAACTTGGAACAGGATGTGACATTCACTGTAGCAGCTGTGCGCACTTTCAGCATTCTCACCCTGCTACTGCTCGCCTGTCTGCGCTGCAGCGTAACTTCGGCCTTCCCAGTCACCACCTCATGAGACTGTGCGAGCAGCAGCAGGCGATAGTGGAGTTTCAGCTGCAAGACGCACGGGTCAGTGGCTCTGCACCAGACTTCCCTCCAATTGATCAGAGTTAAAGGATTTCAAGTGGACTCTAAAGAGTCCTGTATTGTTATTTGTCGTCACTACCTTCCCGTGTCGGGAGTGGGTCATTTGCGTGCCTGCTGCCTTCCTTTCATGTGGTAGCTGTTTCTCAGGGTCCCTGTACGGAATGGAACCCTGATTCCCTGTTACCTGTGGTCACCATGGTAGGTGCAGACACTGGCATTGAAAGTTGATATGGATGACATCCGAATGCAAAGTTGCCGTCACGGGAATGTGCGATTGGCCTGAGGTTCTCTAGAGTCAACAAAGTGCCTGCGCAACTATAATGTCATCAGCTACTTTGTGGAACAGAGTTTTTCTTTTTTTATATGTCCCAATATTTTGGGGGCTACCCCAATTAAAAAAAAAAAATATATATATATGTAAAAAACAGTGTTGGCTACCTCATCCTCCTCCACCGCTACTTCAACCTACACCGCCACAGTCACCACCTCCTCAACCTATGGGTCAGTCACTTAGTATAAACTATGTACACAATAGCAGAGGCTTGTGAAGGCCTTTTATCCATGCATCAGGAGTTGAGCATTTCTCCATGCATCAGGACTGCAAGAAATGCACCGCAGGCGGCAAATGTTTATTTTTTATATATCCCATTATTTTGGGGGCTACCCCATTAAAAAAAAAATAATAAAAAACAAAAACAAAACAGTGTTGCTACCTCCTCCTCCTCCACTGCTTCCACCTACACCGCCACGGTCACCACCTCCTCAACCTATGGGTCACTTAGCATAAACTATGTACACATTAGCAGATGCTTGTGAAGGCCTTTTCTCCATGCATCAGGAGTTGAGCATTTCTCCATGCATCAGGACTGCAAGAAATGCACCGCAGGCCGCAAATATTTCTTTTTTTTATATGTCCCAATATTTTGGGGGCTACCCCAATTCAATAAAAAAAAAAAAAAACAGTGTTGGCTGCCTTGTCTTCCTCCTCCACCGCCGCTTCCACCTACACCGCCTCCTCAACCTATGGGTCACTTAGTATAAACTATGTACACATTAGCAGAGGCTTGTGAAGGCCTTTTCTCCATGCATCAGGACTTGAGCATTTCTCCATGCATCAGGACTGCAAGAAATGTTTCTTTTTTTTGTATGTCCCAATATTTTGGGGGCTACTCCCAATTAAAATAAAAAAAAAAATAAAAAAAATAAAAAACAGTGTTGGCTATCTCATCCTCCTCCTCCACCATCGCTTCCACCTACACCGCCATGGTCACCGCCTCCTCAACCTATGGGTCAGTCACTTAGTTTAAACTATGTACACAATAGCAGAGGCTTGTGAAGGCATTTTCTCCATGCATCAGGGCTGCAAGAAATTCACAGCAGGCCGCTTAAGTTTCTTTTTTTGTATGTCCCAATATTTTGGAGTCTAAGCCAATTTAAATAAAAAATATATATATATATAAACAGTGTTGGCTACCTCATCGTCCTCCTCAACCTATGGGTCACTTAGTATAAACTATGTTCACATTAGCAGAGGCTTGTGAAGGCCTTTTCTCCATGCATCAGGAGTTGAGCATTTCTCCATGCATCAGGACTGCAGGAAATGCACCACAGGCCGCAAATGTTTCTTTTTTTATATGTCCCAATATTTTGGGGGCTACCCAAATAATAAAAAAAAAAATATATATATATATATAAAACAGTGTTGGCTACCTACTCCTCCTCCACCGCTGCTTCCACCTACACCACCACGGTCACCACCTCCTCAACCTAAGTGTCACTTAGTATAAACTATGTACACAATAGCAAAGGCTTGTGAAGGCCTTTTCTCCATGCATCAGAAGTTGAGCTCAGTTTGAACAATGAAAGAGAATACCCTGCACTCCAGCCCTCTCTGAAATGGATCATTCAGTTGATCCTCCTGACAGCCATGCTTTAGATTTTGATTTATGTTCTTCCAAAGCTAAAATCAAAGATTCCATCTAGTGCTATTTTATGGCTCAGCTGTGGTTTTAATTTTTAGGTACTTTATGTTATTTTAAGTGATTTCCCTATCCACATTTGTTTGCAGGACACTTGTCCTACTCTTACCCCAATTTTACTTCATTTTGCAGCTCTCTAGCTCTTTCCAGGAGCTTTTTAGAGACATTTTTGTGGCCAAAAGTTCGGGTCCCCATTGACTTCGAGCCCGAACCCAGACTTTTTTTTCAAAGTTCGGCCGAACCCAACGGACCTGAACATCCAGGTGTCCGCTCAACTCTACGGCTTACTTCATCTATTCTGTTTGCATGCACAAATTAACTCTCAAATGCTAAATCAGTCACCCAAGAACTGCGAGTATGAGATAAAGAAACTCAGAGTTGGAGAACATGTAGAGACTTGGATAGGTCAAAATACATTACTGGAACATTATCAAAAAGTATAAAGTCACTGTTTTATCTGATCATAGTGCGCGCCAGCTGAATTACTTTGAACTAAAACTAAACTCTGTCACTTTGTTTTGTAATCCTGCTTCATTGTTCAATAATAATCTTTTTAAATTTAGACCAGTTGTTTCACGTGCCTTATTTCTTCAGCACACCTAAAGGAGGTCTTGGGCCCACAAGTAACCATAACTGTATGTAGAGATTGCAATTTCCACAATCTTTTAGTCCCAAGCCATTTCCAGCCAAAACCAAACCCATCACTTACTTGGTTAGGTTGAAATCCTCCCTGTGGTACCTATCAGTGTGGTAGGTGTGTCATCTGTAAGTATATTCTCCAGGACTCTAAATCAGTGACAGACAGTAAGGGACGGCACACCTTTAGGGTGACAGATTTCTTTAACTGCAATACTGCAGGACTGGTTTATCTGCTAACCTGCAGCTGTAATTTAAAATATGTGGGCAAAACATTCCGCCCCTTTAACCCGTTAAGGACACATGACTTTTATTCCAGAAGTTTGGTCCTTAAGGGGTTAAAGAACGTATAAAGGAACATGTGAAGTCCCCAAAGAATCACTTAGAAACTCCTGTCTCAAGATACCTCAAAGAATGCCACAGGAATCTATATAAGGATATTAGATTCTGTGGCCTAGAGCTGGTCAAGCGTGAACAAAGGCGGGGGTGGTGGATTTTGATAAAATTCTGCGTCAAAAAGAATGTAGATGGATTTACAAATAAAAGACCCTCAACCCTTTAGGTCTGAATGAAGGTGTAATGGATCACCTGGCACCCCGACTGGGCACCTCATCAACAGATGCTTCCTAGCTGACGCTGAGGACTAAAACCACTGTAGACTCCACAACCACCGTAGCTTTACTGGAATCTCGCCGTCTTCCTTCTACCCTGGATCAACCTCTGATATCAAGGACCATGTGGGAGAGACCTCTCCTCCAGGAGAGTGTAACAGGAACAGCTCTTAAAAGACCTTAGTGATTAGAACCCAGGAGAGTATACAAAGTATAGCAATGTGATTATAGCAGTTCCCTAGTGTGATTATAGCAGTTCCCCTCCAATCACAAGACAAGACTACTTGTTAAGGTTCAAACAGGAACAGAAGGTTTAATGGCACAGAGTGGATTTTTATACAGTTTTTCAGGCCACAAGGGATGTAAACCAATCAAAACAGTAGTTAACAGTACGACACTCTCACATACAGTGAACAATCCCTTTCCTCTGCCTGTGATATAATTAAGGTAGTTAATACATTAATTTAATTATTCACAGGTAGAAGAAACACATTTATTTAAAGTACCATAAGTACCCCAAAACACAACATATCCCCATAAATCTTCCAGATCAGATAGGGGGTTCAGAAATTTTATGGAATTCATATTTTTGCCCAGACGAACACAGGATTTCATGCCCAAAACAGTTCCATAGTATCGCGGCTAAGTGCCGCTGGAGGACCGACCGGGAACCGCAAGGTTTTCATGCTAAAAATAGTTCCAGGGCATTCGTGGCTAAGTCCCCTTGAAGTCTCTTCATGATTTTAACCCATGCGAACAAGATGGCCGCCACCACATGTTCGAATGTCGAATGGTGGCCACTTCGACTGTTCGGGAGTTCGAAGAACCAAATGTTTAAAGTCCCAATAGGCACAATTAGGGTCTCTTAGCCAAAATAACTTAAAGGGGCTATAGTCACAAGGTAAAAGGCTGGCAAAAAGTAGTGCTCTCCAAAAACCAGTGGCGAAGTTGCTTTCGTCACAGAAGGCTTCTCCTTCTCCCCCTTTATTTGAGTTCTTTTTTTTGTGTGTGTGTGTTTATCCATTGCCGTATCTGGGACACAATTAAAATCACCCACTATGATTTGGGAACTTTCAAAGAATTTGAAAAAAACATTGCCACACCAGCTCTCTTTTCTTCCTTTTTTGAGGAACTAATCAATATTGGAAAGTGTCTTCCATACCATCTGATTCTTTCACTTTGTCGCCAATGGGTCTCCTGTACCAGGGCAACTTGTATTTTTTTCTGTTATTAGATAATCGTATAATGCCCATCTTTTCTGTGGGATGTTTAGACCCTGAATACTAATTGAGACGAATTTTACCATCAAAAGATCTGGAACTTATGGTCAGGCCTAAAAATTCCCCGCGACTGATACTCTACAAAACCCATACTAGATTTTATCACTGTACAGACAAAACTAAAACATACCACGAAAAAAAACTATACTAACTTTCACTGTCATGATCTCTGTTTTTTACAGATCTTCACACAAACAGGGATTAGATGCCTAACTCTAGGCTCTCACAATGTTCTACTCAGAACTTAAAGGCGTAATTGCTTTTGGTCAGTGTGGCGCAGGGAGAATATTTAATCATATATATCTACATAAAAAAACAAAAAAATTATTAATTAGAATATATATAAGGATGTATTATCCAATTAAGTGCTTAATTTTTAAATGATTCTTTTGTATGATTTTTAAGTGCTATATTCAAATCTACTTAATTTATCAAGTTATCACGTTTACTCTATTTTCATTAGTGTCATAAAAAAAAAATATTTAACCTTCTTTCTTAAACAGATGAAACCAAAAGGTCTTTATATCATAAAAAGGGAAATTTTATTATAAAAAGTGAAACCTCAAAAAGGAGAAAAAAAAAAAAACAACTTATTTTTAATTTATTCTGTTATATTATTATTAGGTGGTATATTCAAATCTAGTTAACTTATTTTATTTGCCCTATTTTCATTAGTGTCATTATAAGAATTATTTAAGCTTCTTTCCTTAAACATGTGAGACCTAAGGTCGTTATATCAACAACAACAACAAAAAGCTGCTTAGTATGACTTCAAGGTATGATTATTTTCTAGCCATGTTCCCATTGCTTCATTTTCATATTACATTTTTCACTTTAAGCCAAGCCATTGCTTTACCCACTGAATCAAGGATCTCTAAATGATCATCTATGAAAATTCTTCGAAAACCCCAGGTATATTTTATGTTATGTCTTCTTAGAATAGATGTTGCTGAAGCAAATGATTTCCTTTGCGATCTTG